CAGTAAATCTCATGGATATTTTGGAGCTAGTGGCATAGAGCAGCAAAGATCCAACACCACTGGTACCTTGTAGTTTAAGTAATCATAGAATAGTTGGAATTATAAGAGACCTTTTAAAAGTCATCTATTCCAACCTCAGCTAGATTGAGTTGCTCAGAGCTCCCATCCAACTTGAATATTTCCAGGGATGGGGCAAGCACCACCTTTCTGAAAAACTTATTCCCATTTTTTATCCCTCTCACTTGCTTTTTCATTAAAACTTTTTCTCCTTCAGCTTAAAACAATTCCCCCTTTTCCTATCACTTACAGAGCCTTGTAAAATGCCCTTCCTCAGCTTTCTTGTAATTGCCCTTTAGGTACTGGAAGGCTTCCCTGGGCCCTCCCCAGAGCTTCCTCTTCTCTGGGCTGAACAACCCCAACCCTCTCAGCCTGTACTTGCAGGAAAGATGCTCCAATATTCTGACCATCTTCATGGCTCTCCTCTGGACCCACTCCAGCAGGTTCATGTCTTTTTTGTTTTAGAAGACCCACACATGGACCCAGTACTCCAGGTGGGATCTCACAAAGGCAGAGTAGAGGAAGAGGTTAAAATATATGATTTCAGGGATATGTGGTTTAATATTCTGTGAAAAAAAAAATTAACAAAACAAACCAACAAACCAACCCAAAAAACTCCAACATCTATAAGTGGTAGAGAGAAAGGATACTCTTTAGAATTTATTATCAAGTATGTCCCTCTCCAAATTGTTAGAATTCTTAATTCTGTTACACAGTACGAATAACTAAATTAAAAACCTACAAAATGTGAACTCTGGGTTTTGAAGGACAAAAATATTTCCCTCTTTGCTAATAGCCTTAATTTATTAATACATTTTGCTTAGATACAATATGTCTTTTTATAATGTTTTCTGGCAGTACATAACCAGATGCTCACTAACATCCCTTGGACAATTTGACTTCCATATGTGCCTTTCCTTATGCTTTTCTTGCAAGGTAATTACCATTCATTCATCAAATGACTGTCTCATGGAAAACCCAAAGCCCTTTCATTCCTCACCTTATGTGCTATTTCCCCTCCTCCTGCCCTTCTCCTCATTCTAGTGGATTTTTAAAAGGACAGCTTTGACTGACAGAGAGAAGGAGCGCATCTTTTTTCTTGGGGCCCAGCCTCTCATAACCCTTTCCCAAGATGGTCAGAAATACCCACACTGTGGGTATTTCTCAACTAAAATTTCAGCCTTCTTCAGGAGGAACCACAAACTGAGTGAAGCATTAGGTGACCAGCAGCAGAAAGCCAAGAGCTGGCACACTACACACATCTTCCTTTTGTCAGAAGGAAAATTCAGGACATGTCAGGATGAGCTCGTTCAAAGCTAGTCCTGGGCTGCTGCTGGACAGAAAATGTACAGAAGCAGACGTGCATGTGCTGACACCATAACACATTTCAAAGGTTGTGGTTTTGGTTAAGACTATCCATTAAAATAAATTTTAAAAACATATCATGGCCTAGCCTCAACTCAATGATTTGCAAAACTAACAATCTTTGTCTCCACCATAACTGATCTCCTCCCATGCTTCTGCTGTTGAGCACAAACTGCAGAGCTCACAACAAAAAAAAATCTCTTAGGGTTGACAGTGCAGCACTGCTTCTTGCAAGGCTCCTCCAAGCACTAGGTCCATGCACAATTTGATTTTCTATTAACAGGACCATTCTAACCCTCATGTCACTACTGAAATTATAAGTTTCTATGAATAACATCCAAAAAGGTCAATCTCCAGTCTTCGAAACCTCATTAATCCTGGAGTGTTAGGTGGCTGTCATTTCCCTCCTCCACAAGTTTTCCTCACTAACTTGAGCCTCTCCCTACCCTAATTCCCTTTTAATCCTGTAAGAAAAAGGCATTGACTGAACTTGCAAGTGCTTAACTTAACAGAGGCTGATGGGAATTGTCATTGTTCTGCCAGACTGCTCCAGCCCACATCCTTAATCTCTGTTTTTGCCTGTCACCTCACGCTTCTTATTTCCTGTTTTTTCCTCTTCAGTTCATGTAACCAAGTATCAACATACACCCTGATTTTTATCTCTTCTTTGCTGAATTAATATTTTACCACACCTGAGGTACATATCTGTATATCTGTGTGGAAGTGAGTGTATTTTTCTTGTATTGTCACACAGCCGAGGACTACAGATTCCTTATCCTTGACTAGGATTAATAACCAGAATTACGTGAAGGAGCACATACAACTAGATTCCACCTCAGTCAGAAAATAACCTTCCAGAGTTTTCTTAATTATGTCTGCCCAACATATGAGTGACAACTCCCTGTGCCCTTGCACACCTTCTAGAACACCCTCCCAAGACGAGATTTGAAAACATGCATCCCATATCTAAATATAAAGTGAAAGATGTCAGCTCTATAAATTACTTCAGGAAGACAGAACGGAAGGAAGATTTAAATGTAAGGATGAGAGAAAATCTGTGTGCATCAGGCAAAGGATGTACAGATAAACACACAACTGGATATCTGCATGTATGTATAGTAGAAACATCTGCTGGTTCTTATTGCTGCTTCTCTCTTCTTTTTCTGTTTCTGTTCATTGCTTCCTAGCCCTCTTTATTGAATGTAGATGCTCCTTCCTTATTATTATTTTTCATATTTGATTACAAGTTTCTAAGATAATAAAAGGAAAATTAATATATCGTTCCCTCTAGTCTCACCAGATCTACACTCTCATGACTAAGTTTCAACTCAATTCTTAACATTTTAAATTGTTATTTTTAATAATAGGCATTTTATACCGAGCTTGCTCATTAGACAGGCCTGTATTACTGTAGGTCCATTTATAATCAACAGCTGGCTCCACCTAGTGTCCTATTAATTCATCAGTGAAAGAGAAAGCTAAAAACAAATACTAGAGCGAAAACAGAAACAAACTATAAAATCACTTGTCAGCTGGGTGATGGCCACAGACAGCATGAAGTTACAATTACTGGCATCTCAGGGAAAAGACCATTTTAAGTAACTACTGCATGATTGCCAGCCAGCACTCCGGAGACGTGAAGAGACTAAGCAGCTTCAGGAGTATAAATATAATATATGCAATCTTAAACAGTTTTACTGCTACCCTGACAAGGAGAATGGGACTTGAGCTGTTTATAGGGGTTACTCCCTCTTTGGTTTCACCATGATCAACAATGAGAAAGTATTGTTGCATTTAATTGAACTTCTATAAAACAGAATAACATTCTATTTTCATCAAAACTACAGAACTATTTCTGGTTATTCATACCCCACAGTGATCCTCTCTGTTGATGAGTACATCTCCCCTCCCAGCAGTTACAAAATCATTTAAAATGTCTTGTAGATGATCAAAACAGGGAAATGCTCAAGCTAAATAACACTATGTATTAGTTTTACAAATCCCTACATTCAAACTTTCCAAAGGCTGGTTCACTGCTGTGTATCTAGAAACATCTATCTTTCTAAAACTGTTACAGTTTTACTCAGCAACATTTAGTCTTTAATAGCCTGATCCTTGTTGACAAGACCACACAGAGTACAGCCAACCAAGTAATTTAAGATAAAGTCAGAAAAGTGAATATCCAGTTTGACAAGAGATTTCTTGATTATCCCCTGTGAAAAAAACTATAAATCTAATGAAGAATGGAGTTTACAAAGAAGAAAGTATTTGATAAAGCAAAATGATCCAAGTAAATTTAACGTGATCATAGCCTGAGAGCTATCAAGCAGTGTTTGAGTGGTTGTTGAACCTCTGAATAGGAAGAAAGAGATTGCCTTACATTTACAAAGCACTACTTTCACTTCTGTGATCGAGGGCGATCCACTCTGATAGAGCTGACGTCTGTTTTAAACCTGTTCCTATCACCTGTTCGGAGCAGCTCAGCCGTTTCACACTAGTGGTGATAAAATATATTTCAATAGGTACAATACACACTTAATGACTGTTCACCGTGACAGAGAGGGAGAATATATATGTTGTGGAGGGAGAGGGGGACAGGAGGAAGGATCATGTAATAAAACAATACCTGCACCAAAGAAAACACCTGTAAATTTTCTCAAGCTCTCTCAAAATATTCAGTTCAAAGTTCTGTTTGTGACCCATCTAAAGTATTCACAGCTAGATTCAATTATTACATGAAAACCTCACAGTGCAACACAGAACATGAATTTAATAAAATGCACACAGAAATGCTCTCTAATGTTTCAAAAATAAGAGAATGCTCAAGTTCTAAACAGTTAAGCAGTTACTGTCATTTCTCATTAACAGCTTTCAGAATCCTGTCTGAAACAAGTTGATACAGAGAAATTAAGAACAGTAATCAAGCGAGAAATGACAGACCAGCTGGGTAGGCATCAAGTTGGCAAAACGTGAATACAGTTCAATAGCTGAAACAGATGCTGGAGTTGTTGAGAAGCCCTGCAGGAGATATTGATGTATTTTCTTTATATAATTCTGAACAACCAGATAAATGTCAAGAGCTAAAAACTGACGGGGAATAAAACCTGTCGTAAAAACTAACTGTAAAGCAGAGACATGCAATAATATCCTTTCATTATACCAGAGCATTCAGTGCATGCATCTTCATTTCCTTGGAATTCCTCACTATGCCAATATATCAATCAGAGCTTGCTAGTGAATCAGAGGGAGCTTTTCCCAGTCTTGTTTCACATTTGTTTGTTTCTATCTACCTGAGGCTTCAGAGACTTAGAAAATACTTTATTCTTCAGTCTCATCCTAACAGAACACTCTCTTTCAAGCAAGCAATTCCCCGAGCTTGCAGGCAAGCAGGAAAGAAAGAGTAACACGAGCATAAATGAAACTGCAAAATCCATTTTGCACAAGGAATTTTGTTTTCAGAGTTTTAAGACCTCGGCAACAAATCCCCTGTCATCAATGACAGCTCATTCTAGCACATGCTTTGTCATGGTCAGTTTCTAATTACATTCATAATGATGCAATAGCTTTGATAATCCTACCTTCCATGCCAGCTGCTTTTCTTGTCACTCCATCATGCCAATAAGTTGGCTGCCGTAACAAATCAAGATAGTGCAAAACAGCATCTTTCCCCTGCATCTGTCATCTTCCTGAAAGCATTCTATTACTGCCGACTGCTGGGAACCAGAAAGTCTATTTGAATTCCAGCAGCTCCCCTTTCGCATGATTCAAGTTAGGTTAGGTGGGCATGCCTAACATGATTCTCTCCATCATTTATTATGCAGCTGCTACACCGTCGGTGTGGTAACCACTCTGACTTTATCTGATACGTCAGTCTTGCAAACCTCTACCTCCGTGCAAGCCCACGAGCCACAGAAGCATCTTGCATTTAATGAGCATTCTCCCTGCCTAAAGAGAGTGCATCTGTAAATCTGTTTCAAATCCTGCTGCTTGTATTGTCCTCTAAGGCTGAAGCAAATGTTTGAAGATTTTCTCTCTTTTTTTATTCTCGCGTTTTTTCTCTTCAGAAAGCTCTTCGTGCACGCTTGAATTATTCAGCTTCAGCTAAGCGTTTGCTGATTTGTGTCCAAGCAAACAGCACCTTCCCGTTGAAACTCTCTGCTCGAAAGCTACTTCTGAATAACAGTGCTGTGCGTTCAGGCTCTCAACTCTGTTTCATTTTGAACGTGGCTTTTATAGCTACACCTCGACAAATACATTTAGTTCTTTTCATGCAATGAATGGCTGTCTAATGAGGGAGCTGTACATTTTTAAGCAATTTATCTAAGCCTATCTGTAGGTGACACTTGCTTTTTGTTCTTTATACATTTTAACAGTAAGTGGATAGCTCTGTCACAGCATCTTGATATTCTTAAAGTGGTAAGAGCACCACCACAAGCTGCTTTTTCCCAGCCTGTGGAGGGCACTTTCAAATGACAGAGTTTGCTTAACTGCTTCTGAGTATCATGAATTAAAGGGATAGGGTTGTTTTGTTGTCTTTCTATTTATATTTTCTGTTGAGTGGGGGAAAAACACGCTTGCGTCAGTGATTTCAAAAGAATATTAATAGAAATTGACATCTACACATCAATCATCCTCCAAGTCAAATTAGCTGTGTCTCCTCCCACCACTTCTGCCTGCAGTTCAGAGTCAAGGCATTTCATCTTTAACGTTTCTGGTTGCCCATAAGCTGAAAAAACAACCCCAGCCCCACGGTGGAAAGTTTGAATACCTGTGAGAGAAAAAAGGGACAATTCAATAGAGGCAACAGCCTGGCTTAAACCTGATAGCTAACTGAAGTAGTGAGGGGAGAGCAAGGACTATCACTGGAATAATGCCTCCTTCCTCAGTTTTTGCACATTAGCAAAAGAGGAGAGAGGAAAGAGAAAAAAGGCAGAGTCCTCCAGGAAAGCTTTTCCTTGTGGCAGCTACCAGCTCAGCATCGCTCACCAGTTCTTGTATTCTGGGGTCAAAAGACTCATAGGTTTTTACTTAAGCCTCATTTCTCGATTCAGATTATATGTATTGAACTTTTCTATGGTTGCAATCCCTCCCCACCCTGATCGCCCCTTCCTCCCCACAAATTTCGAGTATCAGTAAAGTTCCTCAAGGTCTTGGCTGCGAAAAACAAACCTGAAAACATGGGCTCAGGGGAGACCCAAGTCACAGAAAGTAAATGGTGAGGGGGGCAGGAGGATGGGGAAACTAAATGTACAAAAACCAAAACAAAGCAAAAAATAAAGCCCAAACTAACAAAAAACTCCAAAACAAAATCCAAACCGAAAAACCCAAACCCCAAAAAGAAACCAGGAAACAAGGTAGGAGGGTTTTCTGTTTTGAAAAACGAGTAGAAATAAAAAGTCAGAACATCTGATATCCTCCTCTGGGACTCCCACGGGGTGTTATCCGTGGGTGCCCCTGCACAGTGCTCAGCACACACCCTGGGCAGAGGGGCAGGTTGCTGCAGGGCTGCTGAATGAGAGAGCTCCCAGCCCTTCTGGGAGGGATCTGACTCCCTGCTCTCGCCCACATCCAAATGGCACAGCTGACACCTGAAGGAGCAAACATAGCATGGCGCCGCTTCTATATGTGATACTGTATTTATTCCTAGCATGCTGCCAGAAAATGCCTTTTTAGAGATTTCATGTAAATAAAGTAGAATTACTACATCTGTTCCTCTGTCTGTAGCAGCACGTATCAACAAGCTAATTTTGCATTCAAGGCAACAGAGATAGTCCTATCATATAGTTGCAAAGTGCACAACTATAAAGTGCCTATCTGAAAATACTGTCAGCTCCTTCTCACTCACAGTTCAAGTCATTGCTGAAGTGAAATAAACCAGGCAATGAATGAGGACTGACTTTGAAGTCGCCATCAATTCCAAGTACATAAAAGGATATGCTTAATATTTCACACTTCTAGCTGCATTACGATTTCTAAATCATAGTCACAGCAAGAAGGAATTTACATGGTATTTCACGACAGATGAGTTTGAGCACATAGATCATATAGCTTTTATTTGCAGGGAAGATCTGAAGTACTCAAGAACTCAAGCTAGGCTTAATTTCTAATCCAGTGGATTTTAGGATGTGGAAGATTATAGATTAAAATATCCAGAAAAATATTTTCAAATGTTAGTGAGACATACAACAATGAAAAGAGAATGGGAGCATCTGGTACGGCAAAATATACTTTACCAGAATCCTATCCCACCCAGATACCTTAGAATTACAAAAAGGAAGAGAGGGAAATGAGGGAATGATGAAAAGTGTTTCCAGACAAATAAGCATGGCATTATAGGGAGGACACACTGTGGTTTATCTTCAGTAATACTGCCCTGCAACACAGTACAGTGGATGAGATACAGTTCAGCCACACAGACATTCCTAGACACATCAGGTCTATGGTAAGTAGCCCTTTTTCTTCTGGGGGGAAAAAAACAACAAAAAAACCCCAAAATATTTCAAATTATCTTTTTTGGAGAAGAAGGAAACTGCAATACACCAGTGTTTGTATCTTTTGTGTGCACTAGCTGTATAGAAAAACAGCCCAGAGACAAATGGAGAATCTGGGAGGAGAAACCAGTATCAGTCATTCTGTCCACATACTAATAGGCCAGATTAATAGCTGGCTTTTGTCTCTAGCTTTTTCTGCATTTTTCTGCACAAACAACAGCCGTGGTTTCTGCATATTGTAAGTGGATTCAGCATCTGCATAGATATAATTATAGCAACCCACCCATATGGAATGAATTGCTTTAGAGAGAAAGCTCCATGGGTTGCGCTCCCAGAATCTACAATAACACAAATACATAATTTTTTGTCTTATACAGATCTGTCCTCAGCTTGGAAAAAGCAGAAATAAATGACAAGTGGCAAAACACTCATCAAGTGGTATTCTGCTTTTTACAGTACTGAAAACTCAGTAGGCAAAGAAATTCCAGCCTATTTGGGTGACAGCTCTCTTCCTAGCTCATCTACAGCTTATGGCAATGACATATCTATTTGTTTTAATTGTTTCACTGCTACTAGAAGGACTGATTGGTGCATTCAGGGTGCTTGAGTTCTATTGTGGTGGTGTGTGCACATGACAATGGTAACTAAGGTACCTTGTAGAGCCTCTTCTTGATGCAATTTCTTTTTTTTTTGTTTATCTCTTTGGAAGCACCAGTGACTCTGACCAAGCAAGAGTAAATAATGGATCACTGAAAAATATGAAGCAAGCAGATTGGCCTTGACCTTCAGCTCTACATGATGCTCTACATAATGCACTCTCTCCAGTATGCAGAAATGAATGCTGATTTTGCTTAGCAAAAATTGTTCATTTGTTTTGCTAATATATCTCCTGGAGAAAGTCAATTTCTCTTCCTTTTTTCCCTGCCTCCCATTATACTTAGGTACTTCATGCCTCTCCCCGTGAACAACTAATTCAATCGATCAATCATGCAAGAAAATACGTTAATGATATACTGTGCATGTTTAGATTAATAAACGCCTCCAATAAAAGCACTGGGAAGTTTGTTTGGATAACACAGACAGGCATTATTATTTCTTACTGATAATCATTCTATATTAGCTACTTTTCAATAATAGGATTTCTGATGTATAAGAGTAATCTGTGCATAAACAGTCATTTTCCAATATAATTAGACACACCAATACTTTCATTTTTATGAAAATATTTCAACCATTTGGACAGGAAAAGTTCTGACAATTTCAGTGAATGTAGCTTTGACTGCTCAAGATTTAAAAAAATTACTACAAACAAGTGTATTAAAAACTGAAAATTAAAAATGCATAAAAGTTCATGTCTCTATAAGCCAAAAGGCCAGTGCCACCATCCTCTCCACAAGGATGCTTACAAGCCCTTTCCAATGGAAAGGTTCAGAGAGGCCTCGTCATGCAGACAGGACCATGGTGTTGGCCAGAGAGAAGTCTGACATGTATGTGTCTCAAGTCATCCAGCCAGGAACCTGACAGATATCCTAGGAGCTGAAACTTTCAGGGGTTTAAAAACTTTGCTCCCCTGCACCATAGCTTATCCAGTTATTTTTGTGCAGAATTACCTTTATTTTTTTAACTGAATCCCAGGTACATGAAATTCAGCTGGGTCCAGGCATTTGTCATAAGATGAAAGCTCAAAACACACTGATCTCAAAATGTGTTAGAAGGACTCATGACCAATCTTTTGAAATAAGATTGATCGTGTTTATGGCTTTTTTTTCCAAAATTTTATTACAGATGTACTTACAACAATAACAAGCAGTGACTTCCTCAGGAAGAACGGGATTTCATATTACAGGGCGTTAAAAAGATATTCACAAAAAATGCTACAGAAACAGTTCTCTGAGATGCAGAGCACAGCACACTAAAAAGTGGATACTCTACATTAATTCTGAATATTGCTGTGTGATTTAGTCATCTGAACACTGCTGCAAATGTGGATAATATAATCTCTCACATGCAGTAACTACTGAGGATTTTTAATGTCAACCTCTGCTTACGTCTACAGATAAGCCAACACACAGTCTACATTTGGTTCTCACATAGCATATGTATTTCAGTGACACTGAATTTAAAACAGTAGGTTCTAGCAAGAAAAAATAAATCTGGTTAACTCATTCTCCAAATATTTAACACACATCAGGAAGTAGAAACATACAGTTTCTCTATTTAACACTCAGAGAATTAGCGACTTTGAACTCTTAACCAAATGTTCCCAATCTTCCTCCTTAAGCAAGGCTTGTATGATCTGTTAGCACAAAACTGAGCAGTGACATGAAGTTCATGCTAATTACATAGAACATGTA